TTAGAGATCATATTATATCAAAATAGCTTATTTTATTCAGTTTTCAATTCTCTATCTTCCTGTGTATATCACAAAAAATTTCAATGATTTGCTGAAACGCAAGCTAGCACGTCTTTAATAGAATATTTTTTCTTATTTTTCCACAAAAAGGCCCGATAGTGCCAAAAGTTGGTCCTGGCTAACTTTTCATAGGAAAGGGTATTAGAAGCTAAAATTTTAGGGTTAGTAGTTTTAGATATTGAAGTTTTGAATGAGCAAAAAAAATCGAAAAAAAAAATTTTATCGAGTGCCTTGTATACTCGATGCTCTCATGGGCGCTCTCTTAAACTACACTTATAACGTGTTTGATTTCACGTGAGGACAAAGTTCGCGTACTTCTATTATCAGTGAAATTACGTTTATCTTTACCGTTTACGTCGAGAAGATGAATCACTACGTATTTTTACACGTTGTCTTGGTCGTTTTGATATAAGACCATTTACAAGTCTTTTTGATGTACCAGGAAGTACAAGATGAGCATATGTAGTAACACCAGCAGACATTTCTTGTTTATTTGTATTTTCATTTTGACGTAAATGATGAAAATGCCATGGTAATTTATGTGGACCTATATATACATAATAATAAATTTAATAGTTGATAATAATTCGAATTTCTTTTTTTTTTAAATTTTACCCATAGGAAATGTATGTGCCCATCGACGTCTTCCAGGTGCCATTGGTATTCGAATACTAGCTGGTGCAAATGGATTTATTAATGCTTTAGGTCGTGCTTGTATACGAGCAAATATACTTGATGATAAAAAATATGTATCAGCACTTTTTGCAATACGTGATAAACTTTGTGGATTAGAAAATAAAATTTGGAATGATGGATTAAATATATTATGAAATTGAGGATTATTTGTAACACTTGATGATGTTATTCCATGTGAAGTTGAAAGAGACATATCATCTTTAATATTTACATTAAAAGATCTTGGACTATCTTGAAATTCATGGGTTAATTGAGTATTATTTTTAACAATTAAAACTCCATTTTGTTCAGATAAAGAATCTTCTTCTTCTTCAATTGATTGTGCATCTAAAGAGATAATATATTTGAAATTCATGAAAAAACAAAACAACATGAGATATATATATAATTTTCGTCTATCGAAGAGCATATATGAGTATGACAAAGTATTGCTATTTTTCTTTTTCTTGTAGATGACATTGTTTACTTAGACGTATCATATGAGTTAACATACATGACCAAAAGTCTTAACTATGAAAGCAATTATTCACTTTCAGGACACTTTAGCCAAAAGTTGCTCGGGCTAACTCATATTTGATGAATTTCAGTCAAAATAAATGATATATTTGGAATCAGCATTAAAAAAACGGAGCTCGTCTATATGTGTGACGAAAACCTGTTTTCATCTTGTTATTCATCATGGATTCTGTTCACGATGAAGTTACATAGGTTTTATTATTTACTCATTCATCATTTTGTATTTTCTTAGATTTTTTTAAAAACTTATAATTGAATTTTCTTTCTTGATATAATCCTGACGGAAACCACGATTCAGTTTTGAAACGCCAATAAAACTTGTTAGAGAACTTTAGATACATAATGAAGTCTAATGTTCTAATCCGAATTATCATTGATGTCTAACTAGAGGTGTAAGCCGAAGGGTCAAACAGCGACGGCGGCTTTGACAGCCGAAAAAAAGCAAATTTGTTCTTAAAAGACGAAAAAGTGATCGATCGCATATGTATCGACATCAACGGCGATGGCTCAGCCGTACAGCTTACAACTCTACTTCTAACATTCGAATAAATGATTAAGAAAATCATAAAATCAATTTCGAGAGAGTTGAATTTGTCGCTTAACGACCATTCTTTTTTTCCTTTTTTAAAATCTTCTTACATATAGGACCCATAGTAATATGTCGTCTTCGTGACACTCGATTTTCATTCTTGCTTGATTTATCTGGATGACTATCTTTTGTTAATCTATAAATAATCAAAAATAAAATATTTTTTTTTTGTTATTTGTATCTTATTTAATATTTACAGTTTTGTATGTGTTCGAAATACTTGATCATCATATTCTTCCATTGATATATGTAATGGTTTTGAGAATTGATCTTCTTGAATTGAATTCATAATATTTGTAACATCTATAATATTTAATAATAGAAAATAAAAGTAAGAAAATACAATAAAAAACTTTTTCGTTTTTTTATACCTAACATTCCACCTTTGATTCGATTTTTATCAAATTGTAAACGTGGAATATAACTTGAAAAACATGATGGAGCAGTTGAACGATGATAATAACTTTAAGAAAAAAAAAAAATAGAAATTCATATTTTAAATATTTGATAAAAACCTTAAATTCATCCAATGTGGTATTTGATAGTCATCAGCTGTATTTGGATTTTCTTTAAAAAATTTAAATAATGGTACAGCAAATAATGGTTGTTCACCTAAACATACAAGATCACTTCCAATACCATTATCTAATACACGTTGTTTAGTCATATTTGTTAATTCACGTTCAACTTCAAATACACCAGCACCAGGTGTTATAACTAATGACATTTGTCCAAGACGATCAAATGGTTGATCAATAAAATGACGTTCAATAACTAATGAAAAATATTTGTTTTTTTTTTTGTAATTTTTTGAAATAAAATTAATACAAACCACTCGATGATAAATTTAATGTTTCAAGAAAATTTCCATCAGCTGCACATGATATTATACCATTAGGCATTTTATCAGCTTCAGCTTTAGGTAATTTTTTTTTATGATAAGTCAGAAGATCTTCTTTATAATTAACAAGTACTTGTTTGATTTTTGCTAAACGTGGTGACCAATCATCATAACGTTCATTTTGATAGATAACACTGAAATAATAAAAATGAAAATGATAAGTAAACATTCGATTTTATCTTATTCATTTCTCTTACAATTATAAAACAAAATTTGCAGAAGTCTGTATGACAAAAAGAAAAAAATACCTTTTGCTATCTTTTTATTTATTTATTTTTTTTGAACCATTGAAATTTAATAAAAATAATTTTTTCATATGAACAAATTGATCAATAGTATTCTTCTTTCTCTTCAATGAATTTTTCGTCGATCATATTTGTGACATAGATTACATAGCAAACATAACTTCAACATATTACATATATTTGGAATGTTATTCGAATAATATAGATAATTTGAAGTTTTCATAAAGAAATAGATAACAAGAGAATGTGTATCTTCAAAAATCTAAATGTCACGATTACGAAGAAATTGATATAATCAAATCTTTTTATTTTTTTTAAAGAACTATGCTATCGTTTGTTACTGAAGATATAAATAAAAACAAAAAATTCAACATCTTATTTTCAATTTTCTAATTTGAGAAAAATATTTGTGAAAAAATTATTTATAATAGAAAAAAGAAAATTTTTTTTTTTTTGTTTTTAAACATAATTCTATCTTAAACGAGACGATTCAATATAACAAAGAATACTAAATTAATATAAAATATTTTTACCGATAGAAATCTTCATAAAATCTTCCACGATGATCTTTACTAATATCTTCACGTAAACTTTTTGGAAAATCTTCTAATAATTTTGCATCATAAAAAACTCTTGAAAATAAAGTCATTGTTACATCATGTTGACAACTCATTAACTAAAATAGAAGAATTTTGTTTTTTTTTTTATTTATTTATTGAATTATTCTCATTTTATCTTGCCTTCCATCGAGTAAATAAATCAGCAAGAAAACCATCAACAGCTTTTTCATAATATGTATCACCATGATGATCAAAATCCCACATTTCTTTAGACATTTGTAAAAATATTGTACAACAAGCACTCAATGAACGAAATACAATCTAATACATATTAATATTAAACGAAACAAAAACAAAAATTTTTTGTTTTTCTTTACTTTTGTATCTTTTGTTATATAACCAGACGAGACACGATAGGGTGCTGCATCAACCCATAAACCATAAACCATAGCACTATACAAAAAAATTGTTTTTTTGGAAATTATCAATTTATTAATGAAAGAAAATCTTACCGCATGCCATATATATCAAATGACTTTTTTAAGTAAGCATTTGTATTAAGCTTTAATTGATGGTAATAATCGAAATATCCTTCTTTTTAATATGTTTTATCAATAAAAAAAGTACTCACTAATTTACGAGAAAATCGCCACATATCACCTCGACTTAAATATTGTTCTTTAACCTGCACTTCGACTAGATATAGAGCAAATTTCTAAATAATAACAATTTCAATTTGATATTTCGATCATATAGAAAAGAAAACAAAAAAGGGTATAATTCCTGTAGAATATTTACTGAAACAAATCTTAATATTTACGTTAAAACAAAATATTTCATTCTTGAGATATTACAAGATAATTTTATTATTTAAAAAAAAAAACAAATGAAATATTTCTTGATTAAGACTTAGGCATGATATATTTATCTGAATCATAATTATTTTATTGATTTTTCGATATGTTATTCAATTATTTATGAAAAAGTCTATCATGAGATTTTTCATTTGAAATATTACATGATCACTTGAATATCGTAAAAATCTTAAATTCAATTAAATTTATTTTCTTAAGATATCAAACATGTAATACAAGGTGATTCTATAGTTTGTCTTGTAATAAATAAGTACTTGACATTTCAACAAAAAGAACATATTCATTTGAGATGAAATTTTTTATGATATTCTAATGTCAATGTAAAACTTTTTCATAAGCAAAATTTTTTGTAACTATTTAGTCCAAAAATTCTCATTACTCTCACTGAATAATGCATAAATCTAAACCTAAATAGAGTTTTCTTTCATATCCGAACTATGAAATCAAATGACATCCAATACTTGAAGACATTTCCCCCTCATACAGTTATTCAAATAAATTAAATTATTGAATGTTTTCATTGTTAACGAAAAAAAAATTTTAACTTATAAAAAACTATCGGAAATAGTTTTATTATTATGAGATATTTATATACTTGAAATTCATTATATTAAATTTGCTTACAGTTAAATTCAAAAATGATTTTGTTTTTTTTTTATACGACAAAAAACAAAAAAAAAATCGATTTTATCAAACATTTTGAATATTGATTTGCTTATAGAAAGCAACATTTAACATACAATCGAAATCACTTGAAAAAAAAGTTTCAAGTATTCTTCTAATAAATTGACTATTTCTATATAAATTATGAATAAAAAAAGAAATAATAATAACTAACCTCTTTTACAGCTACTTTTTGTATAGTATGAAAATTTCTCATAAAACTTATCACAGAAAATGTTCGTTTGATTGATTCATCGATAAAAATTTCTATTGAATATAAATATGTTGTATATTTTTATTTTTTTAAGTTTAAATTTTATTTTATTACCTGGATTTTGTGCTTGACCAGGACGTTCTTCATCAACTTGCATAACAAGTTTTTGTGTACCATCATCATTTAAATTAATAACAAATAAATCGCCTTTACGTAAATTGGTTCTATTAGTAACAAGTGTTGGTACACTTGCATCTAAATAATATGATAAAAAAAAAAAATTTTTTTTTTTTTTTTCATATATATATTAGATAACTAAACAAACTTTGTCCTCGTCCATAAAAACTTAATCGACATCGAAATCTAAATTTAAAAAAAAAAAAGAAATAAATAAGTAACATATTGTTTATTTTCTTATTCTAAATATATACATACGGTACTCCTTCAAAGATGAGATTGTCGGATATTTCATCTATATTTATTTCAGTATTTGATATCATTTCATGAGATAGAAAATGAAATATATTATAACAATAAAACGGTACATATCTTTTTCATGATAAGAAATAAAAAAGTCATTATCAGCTGTTTTTTTTTCTCTGGTTAATCGATTAATTTGTCAAAAAACAAAACCAATCCAATAAAAAAAAGTTATTTTTGATTACTGGTGACCTCTTACGATGAAAAGAATAAGTCCATAGTACAAAATTCATTGATCCAATCTAAATTAAGTTCTACTTCTTCCCGAAAAAAATCGATTTACTTTTTAAATATTTCGAGAACTAAATCATATACTGATCCATTTAAAATATCATGTGTAGGCAAAGGATAAACAATTTTTCTTCATTACAATACATATACATCAAAATTTTTGCAAGTTTTTGTTAATACTTGATTATGACCTTGTATATAAACCATTTTTGTTTTGTTTATTTATGTATTAAAAAACAATTAACATCAAAAGAAAATGAATAAACACTCTCGAAGATTTATATAGAAAATACATTTTTATATGTTCTTATTATTTGTATTTCGACAAAGTTATAATAATGTATTTTCTACCATCGAATTTCATTTAAAATAAATAATAAAAATTGAAATCAAATAGTTAGTAGGTTTTCTTTTTTACTTCGTAGTACAATAAAACATAAATGTTAATGTGTTCTAACGGTAAAAATAACCTACATATAGAGAGAGAATCATAAAAAAAAAAACTTATTAATAAGCACAAGAAGAGAACCATAAATTTACTACTATAGCATAATTAAGATATCAATAACAATTGAAATTCATAATAAGTCATGACAATGAATATTTGTATATAAATAGAATTTTTCTTTATTTATATGATATTTTATAGAGTTTGTGGGTGTAATTGAGTGTTAGACTCGATGACATAATCAATAGTAAAGTGCAAAAAACAAGTATTGTAAAAAAAATCCTTTGATGAAACTTATATTTACTAAATAGACGTATTTTATTTAATTAGAAAATTACATGTTAGTCCGAAATGAGTATTGAATTATCTACAAGTACTTATTTGATTATTATAGAACAAAGAAAAAAAGTAATTTTTTTTTGTTTTTCATTCATAGCAATAAAAACGATGACCCAGAAGTTCAATGTCATTTTGTAAATAATAATAAATATTGACATAAAAACTATTTCTATAACAAAATTGTAACTGAATGAGAATATTTGTTGAAATGTTTCGATACAGACGATTTGTTGAATTATTATTAATAAATTAATATGAATGATTTTAAACAAATAGTCATTTTTCTTAGATTTTTACAAAATTTTCAGAAAGAATTATTATATAACAAAAAAAAGAATTATTTTTATCCATCTTTATAATTGTAAATCTTGAATTTTCTCACTTATTTTTTTTTTTTTGGTCAGACAAACTTGAACAATGATCCTAAACCTAAAATTCATCTTTATTAGAACACATACGATATAAGTTTATCGCTGAAATAATATAGAATGACATATATATATATAACACTTTGACTATGGACCGGTTACATTTCGAGAAAGAGTATTTTTCTTTGATTCAGACGTCTTTTTTAAATGTATTAATTATCTAACTGCTGTTGTAAAACATTCTGTTCTGATAGGCTTTTTTTGTGTCTATAACATCTATATCGATCTTTCATTAATTTTCTTTGTAATATTCGATTCATATTTCATTTTAATGATTCTTAAACGTAGAAAAAGAAAAATTTTGATAACAATATCAATCATATCAAATTACTCATTAAATAATAGTTAATATGTATTTTTAATTGCTTGAGTTACATTTAGTTTATTATCTGATATATCTATATATAATAATTAACGATTAATGTGTTTGTTTTTTTAATCTGATAAAATTGATACCTTTCTTATCATATAACATAGAAGAAGTGTTGATTTATAAACACTTTTAAGAGTGCGTTTTACTATACTTTTCTTTTTTTTTCTTCTTCTACTAAATATTGTTCTATGAGAATACTTATTATAAAAATAAAAAAAACGACTCCGAGCTTTCTAAGTCGCCCTTTAAACTAATAATTATAGTCAATATTTAATTATTTATTTATTGTGACTAAGAAAAATATTCTCCTCGAAGTTAATCAAACTATAATATTTAGTATCATATATTTAAAAAGTAAATAGAAATTTATTAAAATCTATGTCTATTCTTGTATTCACTATATGTCATAAATGATTATTTTTATTAACTTATGTTTTTTTGTATTTTGATAATTAATTTATTCATATAAATTAGTACTATATTGTTTTTCTGTATTCATAATCTTCTATGTCATTTTAGATGTAGATGCTTGTCCACAGAGAAAAAAAAAGAAAGAACATCATTGAATTACATTATTAATATTTTCATTTAACAAGAGAAAAAAAAGTCTTATATAGTCTCTCATGCACGTAATCATTGCCTTTTTACATGTGTTGCAATTCTCTATCTAAGAACAAAACAAAAACAAAAAAAAATCTCTATCAGTAGGAATTCTAAGATATATATATTTTTTTTCGATGTTTCTTCTATTACTCGGTTCAATTAATTATATCTATTTATCATTTTTTTTTATTTCTCTTCTTGTCTTTCATCATCAACTTCCTTGAGGAATAACAAATAACCAAAAAAAAAAAAAGAAGATGCAGATGAACTTTTCAAAGCAAAAATAAATTTGATTATGAACTTACTTAGTGCATCTAACATGAAAATGTGTGACTCAATACTTCTCGACATTGATCAAATAAAAAACGATAATTTATCAGAAAAAAAATCTATTAGTAAAAGTGCATTTGTAATAACCTTTTATTTAGTATACGAATAGAAAAAAAAACAAAATTAATCGATTCCTAATAAATTTTAGTTAGTAAAAGAAAAAAATATATTATTAATATGATATCTTATCATGATGTTGTTCATATATATGAAAATTAATTGTTATTTACTAAAATAAATCTATATAAGAATATGTTGCAATAAAAGATTTCTATTATTATCAATTGATCACTATGTCAAAATAAGGACAAATAGTTTCTAGACACCCCATGATGCCAATTATTCTTAATTTATTGACAACAGCTTATATATGCCATAGGCATCTCTCATTTGTCACTATCTTCGATCATATATATATACAATTGCATGATCTAAAACAGGAATCTAGGTCTAATATAGGCATTTATTATCAGATTATTCGAGTTTCTAACACAATATAATCATCATTATCATGCCTTAGTCTGTCGAGCTTCCAAATATTTATATTCAATTGGTAAAGAGCGAATAAAAAATAGAGAAAAAGAAAAAGAAAAACGAGAAATGTTGCTTGTTCTAAGCGTTTTCTCTTGTGTATTGTCGACATACTATATAGGGATAGTTCGAATAAAGAGAATGACATAGAGTTTCTTCTACTATTTATATGACATAGATAGACAAGTAAAATTATCAATATAACTCATTTGATGATGGAATTTTGAGTAACAATTCTGATCGACAACAGTTCATGTTTCGTAAGTTTATCAATAATCTTAATGAGTAAGACAATTAGGAACAGAAGACAATATATATGCATATATGGAAGTAATGATTATCAATGATTGGAGAAGAAGCATTTACATAAAAGATGTATAACTGCTATTTCATCATTATCAATTACGAGTAATATCTCGTTCTATACTCGTGAAATCGCTAATTTCACACTCAATTTGACAATAGAATAATACTGACAATTGACATTATAGTAACACTATTTACGATTTAGATTGAATATATATATAGAAGAACATTTATACAAATGTAGATAGAATCTAAGCTAAAAGATTGTTATTACTATTTTTAGATTGTTTATATTGATTAAATGCAGAACGTAAAAAGTTATTTTTCATCATGGAAAACATTTTGGAAATCTTCAACAAATTCTTATCATACACGTAGATTATCATTACCACCATCAAGTATTAATTTTACTCATTCAAGTTTAGGTGATTTAAAACATTCAATTATTGATGAAAAATTAATGATTGATGTATCAACAAAATTAATGGATAGTATATCACCACCAAAATTACAAATATGTGCACATAATAATCAATGGTATGCATTAAATAATAGTCATTTACTTGTTTATCGTCAATTAGAACGTATTGGTCTCTGTGATACTGTTGGTATGTTATAAATCAAGATTAAAAAAAAAAATATATATAATTTTATCTATTTCAATATTCTATTATATAGTTTGCGATATTATTCGAAGTCAAGATATACCAATTGGTATACGAGAAACACTTAAACCTATTGAAATACCTCAACAAGAACATTATCAATGTTTTCAACATTTAGGAGATCATTATATGCTTACAGATGATGAATGTTAGTTCGAATTTTTTTGAAATAAATATATCTCAATTTTTTCTTTTCATTTATTAAATAGATCCTCAAAGTCAAGATGAAGTTATATATTGTGCTGATACACAAGCTGATTCATGTGGTTGTTTAGATGATGATGATCAATGCGATAGTAGTAATGTAACATGTGGTGAAACTGATCATGATGGTGATTCTGATGATGAACAAACAGGTAAATATATTTAACTGATTTTATTTGAAACGTTTTTATATTTTCATTAGAATGGTCAACAAAAACAACATTATCTATAGCAAAAATTAGTACAATCAGTAATAATCGATTTGATGAAATTGATTTAGATGATGATGAAACTGAAAATAATCATAAAGAAATGCAAAGTTTATTGTAAATCATGTAGTTATTTTTTATTTATTTATTTCATGACATAGAATTATTTTAATAAATGTTGGTAGAACACAAAACACATAAATATTGAATTGATTCTAAGAATGATCAAACAAAAAAAAAAAAAAAGAACAAACAAATATTATCACAGCGAAGAAGAGCTAATCCAAAGAGAAGAAGACAAAAAAAAAAAACTAAAAATGAATCTTATTAACCAATCAATATATATTTGAAATAAATTTTATTTATAAGCATTACTTCTTCGTTGTTACAATATTTAGGAATGTAGAAGAGACAAAGAAAAAAAAAAGCAGAACAAGAGATTCATTGAAAATGAATAAAAAAATGGCTTTGTTTTTTTTGTTTTTAGTTGATATATATTTTTTTTTTATTTTTTTTTTTTTTTTGCAATTGTCACTTAGGAAATTAATTTTGTTTTGTTTATTTAAATTTCCTGACACGACTATAACGAACATACGGACGACAAACACAACCAGCCATAAACATAACACATAATATTAAAAGAATAACAGAAAATAGATAGAAACTATTATTTGATTTTCGAATTTGTTCTGTTAAATCAGCAACACCATTTAGATTAGATACCTAAAATATGAGATTTTGTTTTTTTCAATTTTTTTCGTTTTCAATGACTAAGTATTAGAAGGATTGAGAAAAGCTTTTCTCTTTTTTCGTATAATATTCAACATTTTGCCAATTTTTTTACAGGTTAAATAGAAACAGAATTTTCAAAAACACTTTTCGCCTTTTTCTGGTAGAAAGTGGAAGAAAAATAAGCAGATAATGTCATTACGAGATGAATACGATTGAAAAAGCTTACTGCCAAAATTTCAGTTTTTCCGACTTCTCGATAATCATGCTTGAGGTTCTACTCACATAGGAAAGTTTAGAGAGAGAGAGCCCATTGGATTGTTCTAAGTTCAACAATTTAAGATCCGACGGACTCTACTCGTCTGAAGGATGTACTAGTCATCAAATACAAAAAAAAACGGAAAAAGTTTTCTATATCTTCGGAGCGACTAGGCAATTCTGATTAGAAAATTTCATTAAAAGTCAACAATGTTTATCGCCTGTAGGGACAAATAATAATATTTATATAGTGAAGTAGACTTAGAAAATATTCTTGAGACAACGTTGTATCTTGTATGGAGTATTAGAATGCCAATGATTTGAAGTAGTACTTCGTTGTTACAAACGAAGAATATCTATACAATGTAATTCAACTCACGAGGGAACCACCAGAGGTGTCAAAAAGCTTTTGAGCTGAAATTTTACTCACAAGTAGGGGATGCCTAGACTAGAAAAAGTCTAAAAAGATATGGGTCCAAGTTGGGATTTGACTGAGATATCGACTATTTATCATAATTTTTCTATAGTACCCTACTTGTCCGATAAAATCAAAGTTTTGAATTTAGGCCTGAAACTTTGTTCACACCAAGGTCCCAATCAGACAAGTTTGCCTACAAAGTTTCAGAACTCTTGGATAGACTATCTCCGAGATATGAATCTGCCAAAATATCTATGTGAAACATTATATCCATCAAAAGCGTTTTTATGCTAACATACTAGTATCTCGGAGATAGTCTATCCCAGAGTTCTGAAACTTTGTAGGCAAGCTTGTCTGATTGGGGCCTTGGTGTGAACAAAGTTTCAGGACTAAATTCAAAACTTTGATTTTATCGGACAAGTAGAATCCTATAGGAAAAATATGGTAAATAGTCGATATCTCAGTCAAATCCCAACTTGGGCCTATATCCTTTTAGGCTTTTTCTAGTCTATGCATCCCAGACAAAATTACAGCTCAAAAGCTTTTTGACACGTCATTTGGTTCCCTCGTCAGATAAAATAAAAGCGCTGCCAACTGTTTTTATCGGCTAAACTAAAACTCGTCAGATTGGTTGTCAGATCCCGGTCATATTTAGATTTGAACATTTTTCGTTAACTGAGTGCACACAATGCCTTGTGAATATCTGTCAAACAATGCAGTTAATCTGTTAGGGAAGTCATTATTGATGGAGTGCGATGGAAGAGGTATAATCTCTAACTTTGATGGTCTGTAAAAATAAAAATCTATCAATTGAATATTAGATTCTCAACATATAATTTTACTATTCTTATTTATTTTATGAAAACTTTTTATATTGAATAAAAACTTACAGATTGCCATAATTCTTGTCGTTTTTGTAATACACTTTGACATTGACTTGTTACTGATTTACCCATACCTAATAAACATTGTAATTGTTTTCCACTTCCTAAATAAATAAATAAATAAACGATATATATATTTTTTTTTTTAATTTATTCTTTAATTCTTTTTTTTGTTTTTTACCTATAGGAATATCATTACAATATTTTAAAACATCAGCTTGACATGCAAATGATAAAGCACGATCAACATGTATATCAGCTTGTCCTTCTCTTATAATACGTTTTATTTGTTCAATACAAACATCATCATTAATTTTATTTTGTTGATAAAGTAATTTTAAACAATCTTCTTGATCCATACCAGTACATTGATTATTAAGTAATTTTCGACAACTTTGATATAGTTTAATATCAATTTTAACATCAAGTTTTGATGTTTGTATAACATCAACTAATTCTGATACACATTGTGATTCTAATGTAATTGATGTATCAGTATATTTTGTACGTAAACATTGAATAATTCTACCACCCATTTCACGATCAGTTATTTCATCATTATTATCATTTGTACGATCATCTTTTCCTGTATTATTATTATTATCTAAATGAATAATTTATGTTAGAAAAAAGAATAATAAAAGAAAAAAAATTTAATTTTTTACCATCATTATCATCTTTATCTTCATCAGAATCTTTATCATCATCATTATTTTCAACAACTTCTGAATGACAATATTTATTAATATCTCGTTGACAATTATCAATTAAACCTTGATTAAAACGAGCATCTAAATTTAAGGAAAAAGAAAATTTTTTTTTTTAATTCATAAGTTATAACATCTTAATATTCTTTAGTTGATTTAAAATAATACAAAATTAACTGAAAGAATATAATTTATTCAAGATTTTAAGTGATGTGTAACATTTGATGAAATCGTCATATTTCAAATTATTATTTAATAACAAAAATCACTTCGATCATGATTGAATAATTTATTTATACTTGAGAACAGGTCATGAAGTTGATTAGCGATATGAAAAATTTATTTTTTTTATAAAAACAATGTATATTTTCAGCGAAATGAATCAAATTTTAGAAATACAATACATGCTTTTTTTGTTACTATTAAACTAAAGAGTATACTTTCTCATATAAAATAACACTTTGAAAAACATATTAAGACTATAAAAATAGATACCGGATGTTGATTAGTTTTTGGTCCCGGTAGATCTTTCTTTCGTAGACCATGAAAGAAATTACCATGGAACCTTGCCATACTGTAATCGATACAGTTGATATATGATCAAAGTCCATATGTCAATAACGTTTCGGTATAATATATGAAATATTCTCTTATTTGATTTCTCGAGAGAATATTGAAGAAATGTGTCTCAAAATAAATAGATAAAGAAATCTTCCTTACGACACGTTCTAAATGATTGTGTCACTTACAAAAACTAAAGTGTATGATTACATAAAAAGAAACTTCGCCCTTTCTACCTACTAGATGGACATGTCTTCATATAATAATATTAATGCAATGTTTATTCCTAAAAAACAGATTACTTTAGAAACAAAACAATATGCATCATAGCGATCTTTATTCTTATCCTAAAATAGCAATATATTTGATTTGATAACTTATTTATGTCTACATATTGATTCAAAAAAATGATTATAATCAGTTTAGATAACAATTTCTCGTAAGATTAAAATTATACGAATAAGTATAAATTAAAGTAAACTATGAGGCATTTTTAATTAAAAGCATAATACTTTTCAACATGTAACACATGCATTTTATCGATCGTTGTAAATATTTAATTACAATTTATCACTAAATTTTGCAAAATAAATTATATTATTTTAATATCTTACCACTATTAAGAACCATTAAACGATGATATAAAATTCTTCGACATGCCATTGGCATAGCATCTTGATTAGCATTACGTCGTAAACATGATAAAATATTTTGTTTCTTTTCATTTGAACAATATTTCTATTTAATTAAAATTTTATTATAAAAAAAAAAAAGTTCTTTCTCTGGTTTATTTACTTGTATAATAGTTGCACATTTTGACATAAGACTATAATCATTTTCTGGTAGAATAACATCAAGTTTTTCACGTTTTCTTAATTTAGTATAACATAATTGTGATACTTTATTTTGATTATCTTTTAGACAATCAAGAATCTAATATATTGAATACAAAAATTAAGAAAATACAAAGTGTTTTTTTTTTTTTATATACCTGAGCATTTCCTGGTGTATGATCAGAACAAAATTTTTGTATATCTTTTCGACATGCTTTAGCTAATGATGGATCAAAATCAATACTTTCACTCTAAATAAATTTTTTTGTGAATTATAAAACAAAAAAAAAAAAGAAGCAAAACAAACTCGTTGAAGAAGTTCAAATTTAAGTTCATCACGACAATCTTCAGTTATTTTATTTTGTTTTTTTAATACATCCTGTAACATTAAATCAGCAAGACATTGAACAACACCAGCTCTAAAATAAAAAAACAAAAAAAAAAATTTAATTAAATTAAATATTTAATTTACTTTGTTTTTCTTCCTGTACAATGTTCATTAATTTCTTGTGTACATTTTTTTCGAAATTGTTGACTTAAAAATGCTTCATCTTGCATACTTGTCTATGAATTAAAAAAAAAATTTATTTAAATTTTTATATTTTTTAAATTTTAACATACTATTTGATGATGATCAATACCAGCTTTACAACGAAAATCCATTTGTTGTTCATTTTTATGTTTAATTAAACAACGTATTAAATAATTTTCATTTCCAGCTTCAACATTCTATTAAAAAAAAAATTTATGGGAAAGAAAAATATTTTATTTTAATTTACTGCACAAAATGTTTGAATCATTGGTTCACATGCTTTCATAAGAAGAAAATCAAGTGTTGGATCCGACATTGTCATTTGTGTATAATTTCGAACTGCATCTTTACATTTATCTTCAAGAGTTTTATATTTCTTTTGTAAACATTTAAATTCCTAAAACAAAAAGAAAATTAAGTTTTAATGATAAGAAATGTTTTTTTTTTGAAATATCGTATAAAGGAATATATATATTTATTTAGAATCTATCACTTAACGCAATTCTTCTTGAATGAATAATCGCATAGTATTATTATATTAAAGATGAAGTTTACTCATATAGAAAACCGACTTTCGGCAATAGGCCCTTTGAAGTTTCGGTAACTCGAGAGGAGCTGATTATCAGTAGTTCGATCATTAATATTTCATCGATGACATATCACTTCATAGAAGCATTAGAAAAATTTTCATTCATTTTATTGATCAATAATAATTTTTTTTTTTTTTTTTCATACGAATTCTTTTCCTAAACTATCTATTTAGTTAACAAAAAATCTAATCTATCGATTCTATAAATAAAACCGACAAAAAAAAAAAAAGTTTTTTTTGAAGCGACAGAACTGAAGAAAAAAAAATAAATCAAGGATATGTCAATAGTCAATAACTGATGTTTAGTCCAGTATGAGAACGATGCCTCTTCAAATATTGAATTAATCCTTTCAGAACTTTGTACAACATACTATGTGTCTGTACTTCGAAAAAATAAAAACAGTAATCTTCACTTTAATTCCAATGTTTTCATTCTCACGCTCAGAGATATGCCCGTAGGGGGAGGGGGTCCGGACCCCTCCACTATTGAAAAGTAGTGAATGAATCGCATTCATATCATAGGCTAAGGTCGAATTTGACCTATAATACCTATTGGTTTGAAAATTCTAGTGGTCCGAGGGAGAGTACAGGATCTTCGCGACGCTCCCCTCGGTCATCACTTTTTAGGAAGAAACCGAAAAATGTAAATAGTTGTTTCTTGTAAGTAAAGACCACATTAACTTTTATATACTAGGACCCTTTCACTTTTTTCCTTTCGGCACATCCCTGCTCACACTATGTTATGTGTGCAAATGGTTAGATTGACCCGGACCAACCTCTAACGAATGATATATTGACAATTCACAGTACTAGAGAAAGAATAATTCAGATATACAAAATTCGGTTTATCCGGTGATAAATTGTATCACATACCTTATATAGAGATGGAATCAGTCTGAATTTTTAACGATTGATATTAGTACTAGTCTGAAAAGGTCAGACAGGTCGATCTACCGATTCTATCTCTAATTGAAACAACTATCATGATTTATTACCATAAAAACGAAGACCGTAAAACACCAACACTGTCTATTAGATATGAAGTTTCTTTAATGATCTTGATTTAGAATAAAAAAGAATCAATTAAGAGTGTAATTTGTCTCATTGTAAATTAAATGAAAAAATTTCAAGTATTGTATTAAATATTCTTAGGCAAAAAAAAAAAGTAAATAAATCCGATAATGATTTGCGAGAGAGATATTATTACTGTATATCTTTCTATTTTGATTTAAAACATATTTTTGTTTTTCTTTGTCTTACTTCTCCTTTAATTTCTGGATTTTTACATGTTGCTAAATCTGTTAAACAATTATCTTCAATTTCAGGCATTAAACCAATAGATTGTGTTCGAATATGCATAATACGTTTTAATTCACTTAGACATTCTCTATCAAGCTAAATAATAAAAGATAAAATGTAAATTAAAAAAAAAAAAATAGAAAAATTCTTTTTTTAATACTTGTTGTCGTTGTTGATATAAACAACTTAAATACACTCCAACTTGAGGACCATTTATATCTTGTTTCATTGACCAATCTGGTGGAAGACGACAATAAGTTACAAGATTTTCTCGACATGTACGTAATAATCTCGGTGTTAATCTATTATATATATATAAATATAAAGCGTCATAAATTATTTTTTATTTACCTCCAATCTCGTGCTAAAAAGTAAGCAACTTCCATAAGACGATCTTCACAATCTTCTGTCATACGAGTATTTTTTAAATTATCTAATAAACATAAAATAACATTTGAATCACCAGGTTTCATTCGTGGACATAATGTATCAATAACAGGTCGACATGCTGTTTCAAGTAATGGATCAGCTCGTATATCACTACCAGGATCAACAGCACGTACTAATGAATTAACAACTGATAAACATTGAGTACTAAATTTTTTTTCTTTTCGTGCAGCAGCTAATAAACAATGAATCATTCGACCACCACGTTTATCAATTGTACCACTAACACCTTGTTGATATAATAATGGACAATATTGTGTCATTTCAGTTTTACATTCACTTTGAAGTTCAGGTGATAGAGCATAATCAGACATTAACATACGACGATGAACAAGCATTTCACGTCGACATTCATCTTGAATTTGTTTACCTAAAATTAGAAATATTGAAATGAATGTTGTTTGTGACAAAAAAAAAAAGGTTCATTGTTAAATTTTTACCTCGTTTTAATGTATCTTCAAGACATAAAAGTAATTTAACTAACGATGATCTTTGATCACCTTGTTCAGGATCAATAGAACATTCATGTTCACGCATTTCACTACTGCATGCTAAAAAAAAAGAAAAAGATATTCGTTAGTTGTGTTCTTTTTGTTGTCTATTTATATCAAAAAAAAAGGTTCGAATTTTTACCTCGAATTAATGGTGCATCCATTTTTACATTTGCAACGACTAATGATTGTCGTCGATGAACTTCTTTACGACACTAAAATAAAAGAAAAAAGTATAATTATTTTATTCAAATATAAACAAAGCTTGATATTAATTTAGATAAGCATAATATTTTAGTTTAATTAATAGAAGATTAAATATAGAACATTTTCTTGACTTTTACATTTATAGAATGCCCTATGAATTATCAAGTTTTCTTTGTTTTATTTTGCATACTCTTGAAACTTCAGCAGGAAGCACCATCAGATCTATATTCAAAATATTTTAGATCTAATAGGTTTTCGTCGTTGGACAAATGTATAGGATGCGTAGTTACTGCATACAAAAATTAGAAAAAAGTATCTCATATCTTCTAGACTACTATTCTATTTGATTGAAAAAATTTGATGGAATAGGAAAGTACAGTGTTAACCAGGTTCGAAAATTTTGAATGCGATGGGCTCTAGGCATTATCTACAACATGACTATTATCAAATGTATTGGAAGTGGCGCCTTCTATTGATGTCTCAGAAGGTACGCAATTGAACTTGATATTACATAATCGAGCATATATTGGTCTCCGTCTGGAGTCAAAAGTCATTATAAATACGACGATTGTATTTTCAAATGTTTGATTAAAACCAATAGATAATAACTCTTTTGATTTACTAAGATATTATCTATTAAATAAACTAAATCTATCCTTTCAATAGAATACTTTCTCAGGAATATTTACATTACAATACGCCTAGTAACTAAAACCACTGCCATCAATATTATTTCTAGACTCTTAAAACTCTCGTTCCATATTATGAAAACTCATGAGACACTCTATTGTAACGAGAGGTTTTATTCAGCGTGTAAGACAACCAATCTTAAAACAATGCAGTTACTGTATCATATACTCTATCTCTATGTTTCCAAAATAGACGTCGTCGTTTTTCCAACAGAATAAAACACTAGTTTTATCTCATACATAATTTTCAACAAGATTTGAATACCATCTTATTATTCATAGATTTTTTAGTTGCAATTACTTGTCGGTTGCACAAAGCGACCTTGTTCTTTTTTTTTTCTTCTTCTTTCTAACATTATATTTTTTTTATCAGAATCCATATATCACTAGCTGTAAAAACAAAAACTTCGATATATTACACCAAGGACGTATACTATAATCTACTATTACTTTTTTTTGTTTCTTCTTTTAAATATTACACAACTAATTCATTCGTTCTTTCTATATGTCCTAGGATTACTTATCATAACATCATTTTGTTTTCTTTCATTCTGCTTCAGTTATAAAACATCTGTTGTTTATATTACAAAAATAATTATTCATTGTTTCAAATAAATTTTATTTTTCCCCCCTTTTTCAAAAAAAAAAAAATCATCTTAATAACTTACAGCTGGTGACATCATATTATTAAATTTTTGATCATAAAGACAACGATAAACTCGACCATTACCACTTGAAACTTGACCACATAAACGTTCTCGATCATCACGACATGCATAAAATAAAGCACGATCAAGATGATAATCATCTGATTGCATTTCAGCTAAACGAAATATTTCTTTTCGACATTTTTCATTTAATTGATTATGTTTTTGTGATAAACATGAAATAACAGCACCTTGTTCATGTGGTAACTAAAAAAACAAAGAAAAGATTTAAAAATTTTTTTTTTTTTTTTTTTTATTAATTAAATTTACATACAGCTTGATTATCATCATCTAAACGTCCACATTCTAATTTTTTAATATCATCCATACATGCATCAGTAAAATATTCTGTTAAACGCCAATCATTAAAAACAACAGCTTGTAATTGATTAATAAAATAACGACAACTTGGTTCAGTTATATTAGGTAAATAATCATATAAACATGAAACAAGACGACCAGAACCACGTGTACCAATAAGTTTTTCACATTCATCAAATAATTGTATATCTTTTGAACATTGTTTTTCAGCTGCATCATCAAAACGTGAATCATGTGTCATATTATATTTAAATTTATAAATAAGCTTCAAAATAAAATTTTATTAATTTTTATTTAATATACAAAAAAAAAAGAAATTTCCGACTTACATGTTGACAATCAATACTAATTAAATTTGCAGCCTATATATATATAAAGAGATTAATTAATTTCTATACACCAAACAATAAACTTACATTATCAAGATCATCTATACATTGTAATACTTTTAAATTTGAAAGTATTTGTTGACTTCCTTTATTACAATATTTTTGTACATCAGTTTTACATTCATTACTACTAGCAATTGGTGTTGATGTTGAACGACGGTTTGATAAACGTACTTGTGATGGATTACCAACACCTGATTGTTGATTATTATCATTATTATTAGCTCTATTATTTGAAGATAATTTATCGTTATTAATTGATAATCGTTTTTTATTTAATGATTGAAGTTTTTCTTCATCATCATCATCATCATCATTTTGAATATTAGAACCATATTTCTGAGCAAATATACCAGTAAATAAGAGAAATAAATAAAGAAAAAATAATTGTCGACGTAACATTTTTTTTTTTGCTTATCTAAAAGAAATTGTTTATTGTTTTTAAAATTATTCATTGTACAAAAAAAAAAAAAAAAATCAATAATCAGATGTTAGATGTAATTTTTTTTTTTCATTTGAAATTGAAAATATTCTAAGAATAATATGACCATAATCATTTACTATCGATAGTTTGTAAAGTTATTCGTCCTTTTATGTTTTTTTTGTCTGTATTAAAATTATAGCTCATTCATTCATGCAGAACGCTGTATGAATATTTGGCCTATAGCAAAAAAAAGAACTAGACTATATATATATAAAAGAAAGAAAGAAAAAATAAAGGTGTAACGAAAAGAGAATAGTTTCATATGCCGTCGTTGTAAGATATCAACCCCGTATGACAAACACCTGTATACAAAATCATGCACATGCTCGACAAGAACAGAAAAAATAAAGAATGAGAAAGAACAAGGATAATGGGAAAGGGGAACAAAAAAAAAAATTTTATATTTTTTCGAATGTGTATTTTTCTTGTCATAGAAAATCAAGCTAACGAATCAAAAGTGAATATTTAGCAATAGTTTATTGTCTAGAGAATGAAAGAATTTTTTTTTTTATTGGAAAAAAAAATTTACTGTTACATAAATGAAGTTGAAGGTTAAAAAATAAAAAATCGTATTGAATTATGAAATAGAAATTTTTTTCAGAAAACGATAATTAGTAATATTTCAAATAAAATTTCTTACTGTAAATGAATTTGAATTAAAATAATTAAAGAAACAAAAAGTAGAAAGTAACTTATTTCGAGAACTTAATAGAAATTGTACGTCATAAAAAATAAACTTCCAATGCCAATTGAGGTCGTGTCATTTTGTAAAAAAAAAGTATTTCTGTCTTCCAATGTTTACCAACATCATGTTGTCAAGCTTACGCCATCGGTGTCACCAAAGAACTGTAATAAATGATTATGGATCATTTGATTCATAGATAGTCAATAGAAGAAAAATACATTCGAAATCAAAATATTGGAAAAAAAAATCTAAAAAAACTTTTTGAGATCTATTGCATATATTTTATTTTTCAGTCAGGAGTAATTATCATTTCGATAGAGGACGCTTGTTTATGATAACAATTTTGAATGTTGAATTTTTACTATATAGTTTCTGTTCAACTAAATGTATTATCAATGAAATATACTCTCATGATCTAAAAATTGGTCCTTCAAGAAATTCTGAAGATATGGGTGTGGGTGGCTGTTCTTCTCGTCCACATGCACACACACCCTCTTCTTAGAGTTATCACACTTATACAGAATTAAAATCTAGCAAAAAACATATCTAACGCTTACCATTATAAACAAATAAAGAAAATCACTTGTGCACTCACTTCCTGACCTGCCAGCCTGCTGGGTGAGGCTATCAGGCCAGGCCAATTTTTAGATTTTTATTTTAAAATTTCTTATAAATTTTAAAATGACATGCTTATTTTTAAAACAAATATCTACTGCATGTCTCGATTTCCGATGTTTTATGTGAGTCTTTTAATTGTAAACAGAATTGTGAATGTGTGACATCGCTATGTCCTGCGATGAATGACAATGATGATCATTGGTGATATTCAATTGTCTCATCTATTCTATTTCTGTATTAACAATAAAAATTCAAAGTGACCCCTAACTCTGAGAGTCTACGTCAACTCAAAAGGCTATATTTTCTCTTTAGGATAATTGATTCTTATAAACTAATTTGCCTGTTCTCATATTTTTATGCTGACTTATGATTAAGTTAGAATGTGTCTCAATATGGAAGGATAATGTTTTCTTATAAAAAATGAAACTGACTAATAATAAAATCCAACGAGCATCATTGAGCAAACAAAGACAAGCAGCAAATATTTCTGACCTGGTTTGATGCTGTTTGCTATTTTTCAATTTTTATGTTATATTTATTACAGTATATGTTTTTCATTGTTACGGAATAACCCTGATGAAAGTAGAATGACTTTGAAAGACTAACTGTCTGCATAAGCAAGGCTATTTTTTTTCAGAAGTGTTTCTTTTGATTTTCTATTTCTTGAAAAAGTTCACAATTTCATCATCTTAATTGAGAAGAAATATGCGATCATGACTAGGGTGAGATAATAAAAAGAAGTCTGATGCACATTGTACAATTTTATTCATGAAAATAGTAAAATATTTGATAAAATTATTCTATTCTCTCAAAAGCCTACAGGCCACGACAGGCTGAAAAAAACTGGCCTGTTGGCAGCTCTATTCCCAACCCACGTGTAACTGAAAAGTTGAGCCTACCCTAGACTAAAATCGTTCCGCTGCCTATGGAAAAAGGTCAAATTGTCTTATTTTTACAACATAGATGAGCTGCAGGACAACTAATGAGAGGAAGAAAAATTCCCAATTATGAATAATAAGACAAAGAGCGAACTTTTTTTCTTTCCTGTTTCTTTCGTGTGCCCTATTCAATCAGTATAAACAGTTTCCTCGTCCATTCATTTTTCACTCCGCTCTTCTCCTAGTATCTTATCGACGTATATAATCGTACATCCATTCTATCGTTGCCAACTTTTTTCTGGAAAAAAATGTGTCGCTGCTATAGTCGTGATTTTAAGGTCAAGGTTCTTATTTAACACATGCCAAATATACCACAACATAACAGTCTTTTTTTACAGTGCTCAACATCATCATCACCACCCTCATATGCCGTTGCTCCAGAGACAACAACATATGCGGCGATGATTTTACTCCTTCAACCGCCACGACTGACCGAGGCTCAACTCCGTGACCTATCGGTCATAGCCCTGCAAAAAGCAGCTGAAAAATAGGCATCAGCAACATTAGCTCTTGGTCACCTGCCAACTTTATCTGCATCACCACTATCAGAACTATCATCAACAGCTTCACCATCACAAGAAATTGTGGTTTTTCTTGTTGCCGTTTGTGTCTTTATTTATGAATAAGGATAAAAAGAAAGAAAAAAAAAGAAGGAAATTTTTGAATTTACTTTCTGAAGCCTTAAAAGTAATGAATGAGTGAAAAATAAGGATTCGTATATATTAATGATGAGTAGTGATCAATGTCAATATCGCGTAAAAATTTGTTTTTTTGAAATTATCTTTTGATGCAAAATTGATTGATTGTGAACTTCTGACTGTGTTCTACTACTGCTATGAAAAAATTTTGATAAAAAAAGTCTATCAGAAAGATTCAAATATGTTGTCTAATTCATGAACCATGGAAAACATAAGTGAAAATATTGACGATTATACTGTTATTATGATCAATTTATCTTTATCGACAGATACGAAAAATACTTTATTATATTCGTTTTTCTTTTTTACTTGTCTTGGTTGTTTATATGAGTTACTTACTATCGAGAAGAATATGATGTCTTCTACTTGAATGCATTAGTTAAAATTAGGCTATAAACTCAATCTATAAAATGCATTACATCTCAATGAGTTTTTCTATATTGTGGCAGAAATAGTTATGATCTATAGACTGCTCTATCCTATTATTTTCAAATAAAATCATATAACAATAATTATCTTATATTTACTAATTGAAGTTTATGAAGATGCATATGTTTTGTTCGAATATAGTTAACTATAGAGAAGGTAATTCTTTCGGATTGATCAAACAAAGAACATAACAAAAATGATAGATAAGATTTATTGGCATGATCAACACGTAATGAATGAGCTTCAAATGTGTCTTTATGCGATACTATATAATTTGTGACAAAATGCCTATGAAATTTATTATCGAAACTTATTAAAATATTATAGATAGGTTCCAGATCCCCAACCGGGTCACCAAACCTGCCTGCCTGGCCTATCTACTTTTTCTTCGATATGAAAAATTTGTCGCATGAATTGAATTTAATTCAAGAAAACAAATTTAGTTGAGTAGTTTTGAACGATGACATTTAAATATGACGAATTAGATAAATGCTTGAGAATAAATATTGAAGATAGATATAAACAATGAAAACTACTGTCAATATGAAGAGGTTTTCAACACAAAAGAGGAGCTAAATAGTCGATGAAAACTTCTCATGGAAAGTTTTTTTTAAGCAAAATTATTAAACAAGAGTTTCGAAAGTGATCGCTGGTAGAATTCGCTCTCCTGCAACTGTTTACACTGTACTCAGATCGTTTGAAATAATCAATTAGTGTATTATGTTTGACTGTTGATGATAATCAGGTCTATTTAATTGTCAATATGGTAGTGGACTAAACTAACTTTCATATAGTTTGATAAGGATTTTTAAGCTATTCGAAATGGTAAGTGAACATCGGAGAAAAAATGAATGATCAGTAAAAAAAACACCCGAGGGAAACATTTCTCGAGACATGATTTGAGTGTCTTTGGCTGATATTTGGTAGATCTCAATCAGAAGTACAGTTTGGATAGAAACTAAAATCATCTTGAGAGCCAGCATTCAACATTAAGCAGACTAATGAAAATTTTCAATCTTTTTATCGACCTTCTATCGTCGAAAAAAGCACCAAGTATCCGTCAAGATTAAGTCCAAATATGAATCGCATCAAAAAGTAGTTTCACTAATGGAAAAGAATTCTAAGGCTGCACAATGACACTAGAACAAAAAACAGCGTTTGTGTAAGCCATCAGAAACATTCTTAACGAGTTTCATATTTTTTGACTTACTCCGGGGGGACTGGATGATGTTTCAACGAGAAAAGGTCGATAAAAATATTCAAAATTGGCATAAGTCTACTCAATGTTAAATACTGATTCATAAGGTGATTTTTGTTTTTACCTAAGCTGTACTTTTGATTGAAATCTACCAAATACCAGTCCAGACCACTGAAAATCATATCTGAAGAAGTATCTTTTCGACGTTTTTTTATCATTTCAGAATGCTTAAAAATCACTGTCAAACTGTTTGAAAACTAGCTTGATCGATCACTATAACGATAGCTAAATAGATCAAATTATTATCGACGGTGGGATATAGTGTGTCTATTAACTATGTCAAACCATATGA